GAGGCAAAGCACATATCGTTATTGTGGCTGGTAAGCACTCAATGTGCAAGCTTTTAACTATGAATGGATGACGGCACTCAGGAAATGATTTTGACCTATATACTTTAAAGAGCAATAATAACCCTTTACTATCGTTTCTTATGGTATACAAGTCAAAGCTAATGACTTCCAACTTAGTTTAAGCCATAGATACAATAAAGTTGATTGGATGATGATATTTATAGGGAAAAGGAGACTCGGACTTAGATACACAATGAATGTTGAAAATATGTATACATGTAAATATTTGTGGAAATGCAAAATAAATTTCAAATTTCAATCCATATAGGCTAAATGTTATGGTGACATACTTTTGAATTGAAAATGGGCGCATAGTTGAATAAATGATGGCATAACTATTGTATAGGTGAACAAAACTAATCTTAGGGAAACCCTGAAGCTCGCCAAGTTAAATAGGGCCTCTCTGCCATTGACCAAGTGAATCCGTCACCCTTTTCCAGAGCTTCGATCATCTGCTTGGCGACACTTTTAAGAAAAGAATTTCCATGGCCCTTTTGCAATGTAATAGTCTTTGAAATTGTGGGAATTAATTCAACCTAGACAATAAAAAACAAAAGCAATTGAGTGTTTGGTGGGCTCAATAAACTTGGTCAGATAATGAACAAAATGAGACTGGTGAAGGTGATGATTATACTGGGGTCGCACATCATCTCGTATCAATAGTATAAAATGGGAATATCATAGTTTGCTAAAAAAAGGAATAGACATTGGCATAACAGATACTATATGTAGATCAAGATTCCCGGAGTGGCGAAGACTATATCTTATACACATAAAAGATAGAAAAGAAACAATCAAAAGTTGATAAAAAGCAAGATGAAATACTGATCAATTCTCACTGGTTCATCAGCTGTAAGTTATTTAACAAAATTAAATTTTTTTGTGAAATAACCGCTATCGACCAAAAATAATAACAGTTCTGGCTTAAAATTTTAAGTGTAGGAAGGGATCCACACAAATTATACCGTGTAGGAAGTAAACTTAGTATGAGAACAAGCTTTTTGCAAGAAAGAGTCAAGAGTTAGACTAAGCCAGTCGGGTTGAGACAATTACTCTACATAATTACGGAGTCAGTGTGGAAAGTGTATTAGACCTACTTAAGGCTAAGGCCTATGCACCGAAAACAAAGATCAAGGCGCGCCATAAACGAATAGGAACCAACAAATCAAGAACAATAGCTCTTTTTTCGGTTAGCTAATAAACATATGCTGAGTCGCCTGAAATCTCGAGAAAATGCAACAAGCTGGAGGATCACTTACGCCCCTTGACTTATTCAACAGATAGTCTTACTGCTGGTGATAGGCTCCCCGAAGTTGGGAACAACCCCATTAGCCAGATAATCTCTAGGTCAAGAGTATTGCTTAATATATTAGAAGCTTTGCTTAATTTAAAATGTTATACATGCTATCCTAAATATACCAATAGACTTGCGGCACGTCCTAGGTAACTAAAAAACTATTAGAACCTAACACTCCGTACAATGACGAGATCATCCTAGTTCATATAAGACCAGGTGGCAGTACACAAGTATCATTTTAACCGATGACAAAAAATACGCAATTCACCAAAATAGATAAAAATCAGATATTGGGAATTTATTAAACCAAAATAATACCAGGCTGCGGACAAATTGGAGAATACGGGTCCGTCACTGTATAATTAGACGATAAACGAATTCTGGATTAGCCTGAACCAACTTGGATAAATGCAGTTATCACCTATGAACGAAGCAAATGGACACAGCTAAATATGTGATGGAAAAGTAGCGCAATCCTACAAGTATCAGACGATCGATTATAGCATTTCAGCTTTGAATGTATTTATGTAGAAGACTCGGTTAAGGCAATATGACTCAGGAACTAGATTGTTTGTTTCCTGTTCTGAAACTCCACAGCTCGAATATCGCAGAGAAGCCTCATTGCAAAATTCGAAGATTCATGATTACTTTTAAAGACAAAATAATGAATCAGGCAATAATGCCAGTGATCTGGATGATAATTTATCCGGTTAGTCAAACATCGTCGAGGCCCGAATTCATAAAAAAACTTAGCTAAGGCCAGCAATGATAACAGAAATATAGTTGCAAAGACAAATGCACAACCGCCGTTAAGAATAATTGAACACAAATTATTTGCTGGATGGTTTCAGGAACAGAAACAGTCCATCGTAAATGCACGATCAGTACGCAAGACAGGTGGCAGAGGTCAATTGCACATACCTGACTGAAAACGTCGCTACGAGCCCGTTCGACGAAATTAAGCTTATCCTTGAACAGATGAATGCTTGCGTGATTGTCAAGTGACACTTTTGAGACAATCCCAGACAATTCAATGCAGAGATTATCAGCAGAAAATGAAAGAAGAGCAGCCATCGCTTCACAAGCTAGACCTCGACCACGGGCCCGCTCTTCGGCAATCATAACGGATAGCTCACCTGGCAAAGTCAAAATAAAGGATGCCACGGTTAAACCATTATTCACGTGAGAATAAGGCATAACATCAAGTCCTTTAAAGTCTACCGATCTTGAATAAAATAGAAATGAACCCGGGGCAACCAAACTTATACACAAAGCACGACGAGAGTGGACGCAGAACAGAGGAGCATCGCAAGATATTGAAGCCATTTCGCCGAGCAGAATCAATCACTAATCGAGGAGACTGCAATTGACGCAACAGCGATTCGCACATAATTGTTGCTCACAAGATCAGTGTCCATAATTTATACGGAATATAAAATCCGTTAGCGCTTAAAAGTCTGGGTCAGCACACCCTTAAACAATCTAAATAGGCTGGAGTAACGCGTAGACAAATAATACTCGCATATCTAGTGGGATTTATGCGTGGCAGTCGAAATAACAGCAACGCAGGGAATGTTAAAAGGAGAATACCGACGGAAAAGCAACTAATCAGGTAGAGATGCAACTAAAATCTAACTCCGGTGAATTATTGTGGTCATAATTGTTAAGGGCCACCTACCCTCCAGAACATCGTCTGGATTGTCGCAGTCATTCTCGGCAAGTGAAGGCTGGATAAACAGATTAACGTCACCGATCATCGCTTTAATTTCGGCATTATTTATTTCCTGGAAATCAAGGTCAAATGAAGTCGATGTTAAGCATCCCCTTGATAGCACCTTCTTGTCCAACAAGATGAACGTCAGCCTATCACTCGCTTCGAACCACTGCTTTCGACCCTCATATTCCTAAAAAAAATCGGATGACACATGCGGACCACAAAGTACAAATAAATCATCGAAAGCAGGCTGGAATCAACCAGTACAAAAGTAATCCTTAACAAATCAGTAAATGCAAAATCGAATATGAAAATACCTCTTCGAGTGAAAGCAGCTCTGAAGAAGTCTGACTTCTCAGGAGTTCC